ATACTGTAACACAATTCACTAAAAATGCATTATTTTCAATATTCCAATGCTGAAATAACTTTTTATATAATGCGTCATTGTTTTAATACTTGGTCGATTCTGTTAAACATAGACAGTTAGATTGTGTTGGCCACAATTTTTTAAACGAATTCTTGTGCCAGTCCTATATTTCTCACAGAATTAATAATGGACATTGTTTTGGTGATCAAATAGGAAGTTTCTGCTCTAACAGTTATCAAAAATTTTAATATAAAAAGTCAAAGGCACATCTGACAATCAGAACATATTTTGAGTTCGTAAAATAACACGTATAAGCATGAAAAAACTTCGTGCTGATATCATAAATACTTCATTTCAAATATCAGTGCCTGTGAATTCCTTCTGATCACCACATTGATCATAAAATACTCATTAATATTGTAGAAAACCAACTAAAAATCTTTGATTCAGAATATCTATACCCGTTAGATTATCGTAATACATGAAAATGATTTGGAAACTGAGTCAGAAAAACATAAATAGTGCCAAATAAAATCTGTTCAAATATACGTTTTATTGTTTCTCACTTCAAGGAAATGCACTTTCAGCATCGTATCATTATTAAATCTAGTTTTGAACTATGACAGTTTTTGCCTCGAAAATCCCAAAATAAAAATCCACAACTGGTTACCAGTTTTGATATTTTCTGATTAACTACGTCAAGTGGGGACCATAACTTGGGGTAAATAATAACACACTCTTGCTTTTAATAAATTAAAATAGTTACTTCATAACAATGTTAATAAATTCTTTCATGGTATGAGAAAAGTAAACATTCAATATAGTTTTAAATATATATTTATGCTAAAGTTTTAAGAACAAAGAGGACATCTAACAGCAAACTAAGATTTTTAATTAGACAACATGATTAAATATTCTAGTTCATATCATTGCTATTTTCCTTGTACTTTATATTTCTTTGGTCTTCTAGTAAAAGATAAAATTATTAGATTCAATCGGTAATATAAAATAAACAAGTACATTTAAAAATATTTTTTATTTATTTTGGTGCTGGTTCAGCAAATAGTTTAGCCATATCAAGTCTTGTATGAACTCGATTAAAAGCTTCTAATGGTCCTTGTGGATCATCAGGTGCACTGTAAGCAAGATAAGCAGCATTTTCACCATAATCAAGTATTAAGTTAAGTGCATCACCGGTTTCCGAAAGACTAGTAATATTTCGAATGATAGTTGGTGCATTAATACGACCATAATGATCAACTAATAAACTACCTAAACATGGATTATCTGATGGTTGAACATGTTTATCCCAATAAATAACATCTTTTAATATTGGATGATTTTTTGTGTTATACATATCTTCCCAGTTAAAAACATTAAATTCTTTTGCACTATATTCAATGCCACGAAATCCAACATTTTCATCACTATGAACAGATGCATTACGTTCGTATGAACCAAGACCAAGATGAATGGAACATGTTCGATGTGCATTCACAAGCATAGTTAATGCTGTATCAATAGAATCAGCGAATTGAACAACATCTCGAAGAACATATGTCCATGGATTTCCAAATCG